AGAGAGAGAGAGAGAGAGAGAGAGAGAGAGAGAGAGAGAGTTGTATCTCTTTCTCCTTTTTTTAATCACTCAGAGGTACAGACATTCCCAATTCACTTCTGGCTTGCCTATAAAAGTTCATTAAGGAGATTCTTCAGAAATTGCAAGACTGACAACAGACATTGTAAACGCATTACAAACATCTCCTGTGGGGCACAAATCTAGCTATCCTTAATCAGGAAGTTTTGACATTCCAAAGCAGGCATTTCTAACATTCCAGTATTGCCATGACAATGTTTAAACTAGGAAAGCAGAAATGACTGAGGCAATGTTAATGTAAAATATGTGCTTACTTTCTCTAGGCAATACCAAGCAATTGGCAAATAGCATTGTCAATCTAAGTGCAACTTTGCAAACCACAGAAATAAGAATGCAGAGAAGCAGCTGAGTCTCTAGCAGCAGATGAAATTTCGGTCTGCATTTTAGGACAGCAATGAAACAAACAAAACAAAATTCAGATTAAACCACTTCGGTCAAAAAGGAGTAGCAGCTGCAGCAGTGGGAATAGCAAAATACTTATTTGAAGATCAATACAAATTAAAGTTCGGATTTCTCTTTCTGATTTTAAATGCATTCCTTCAGCTTGGCTAGAATGCTATATGGAAACACTCACATGTATCCCACCTAAGTCCAGGAAACAAGGGAAATTTCATAATTTTCCCATCTCAAGCTATAGATCCTGGAAGTGAGAATACACTTCAAACCTTTTGAAAGCTAGAGCCACCTTAAGTCAATCATTTTGCCATTCAGTCCTCAGTGTAATGAACCTGCATGTCAAATTGATAATGCAGTACTCTATGACTCTGCGGTTAAATGATGTGCTTTAGAAAAAGAAAAGAAAAAGAAAACACCAGTCAAATTAAGTCAAGATGTCAACAAGCAATACAAAATTCAGTCCATATGGCAAAAGACAGTCAGTCAACAGACCAATGCAAAGCTTATTTAAGAAATGTCCATCTATGGCCTATCAATCTGAATCTATAAATTGAATCACAGTTCATGCAAGAATTCAAAGGAGGTGTTGAGTGTCACAATACACCCTAAGAAATTAACTTACCTAGAAGGCTTTCAAAAACACACATACACGCATGCACACACCTTTACTCTTGACACATGCCAGCAAACTGTCCCCCCTCAATTAGTGCTCCAAAAATCCCCAAAATATAAAATTGCAATTCGCACTGTTTCAAATTAGGCTGCAATGTAATGCAGCCTTACGTAGAAGTACTTGTCACTGACCCAACTGCGTTTACTCCTAATCCATTCTCAGCGCTGCACCCAGGTTGCTTTTTTAACCTCCCAGCCACAAAAGTGCATATATTCGCGTATCTGGGCTTCCTCAACAACTGGTAACCCATAAAACAGAACGCAGGGATGACTAGCCCATGAGGGCTCAATGGACCATCTGTCTGTGCTACCTTCCTGCAAACATGGCTATGAGGTGTTGAGCATGAGTCATGCTCCAGTAGGAGTCTTGTTTAACTGGATGGATAACAAGTAGATCCCACCCAGACAAAAGCACCACCACCATAACTGGCTTACAGAATTCGCCACCCTTAAATGTAACGATGGTCCGAATTAGGACTGAATTAGATGAGACGGTGGGCTATCCACAACCAGTTCTCCTGTGCATGGTGGTGGCGATTCTGCATCTCTGTGCTTTGCCTCTGCTCCAAATAGCAGCCCCAGCAGGGAAAAGATTGGGAGTGCAGAAACAGCTCAGGGGAAAATGGATACGCTCACGCCCAAGCATCCAGTGCCACAGCTGTGCACTTCGAAGTGCAGGCAGCTGTGTCAATCCATACCAACAGATCAGACCTGGTAGTTTTATCTCCACCAGGAACCAGGCTTTTTCAAAAGAGCTAGGGAGTCTTAGGACACAATCCAGTGGGGATGCCCCTAAGCATCTGAGCTTAGTTTGCAGGAATCCTATGCAGGGCAGGAAAAACAGGGAAGTAATGTTTGCATCTCCGCTCCTCCCACTCTGCAGATCAGGTAGGAAACCAACTTCACCTCTCTGGCTATGACACTTCAGACTGGCTGGAGGCTGGAGTGCTGCCAGGCTCAGTGGTATTCTGGTGGACCTGGGTTGGTCATAGGGCCCCAGAGAAGCAGCCAGCACTGTTCTTTCTGTGCTGGTTGCAAGGGGAGTGGACAGCAGACCAAGAGCAGCACCCAGCCAACCTGGGATTTAGCAAATAGAAGCATCCTATGGCTTTTTAGATTGGGGATATATGAGAAATCCATTCTGAGGGTGGGAATCCATTGGAGTCCCTGACAAGTGTGGCTAGAGTTCAGCCCCTTTCTTGCAGGCATGAGTCTGACTTCTGGGCAAGCGCATCGAGCTATTGTGCAGCCCTTGCCAGGAACAGAGTCCCAAGCAACCATTGTGCAAGAGGCATCCCTCTTCTGCACACAGGACGTGACTGCACTGCACGTAACGTGGAAGAAGGTTGTCAGTTCTGCAACTGGACTTTTGCAAGCGTTGG